CTGATCATATGAATTAAATGACAAAAACCACAGAAATAAATTATAACTGCCCAGTAAAGTTAAGACATTTTATGTAGAGAAACCCCCTGGAACCTACATGCATTTAGTAGATTAGAGAAGATTTCATGGAGAAGGATGAAAATGAGCTGTGCCTCAGATGATGCTGAGGAGTTGTAACAGGGAGGCCAGGTGGCATCTTTGCAATTATACTAAGGCAGGAATGAGGCCAATGTCTTCTGAGAAGAAGTATACCAGCTGGACTGAAGAATAGGAGGCAGGTTCGTTTGAAGGATAGTTGAAGATGAGAGGACAAAGTGGGTTCAGATTATGGGAGTCTATTTGATAAGGCTTTGGAGCCATATTTGGGGATATGACTGGTTCTATATGTTGAAAACCCTGAGCGGGGGCTGGAGATTGGGAGATGGACCCAGTCAGTATTATTGGTAGGAAATCTTAAGTAGAGTTTAGAATGTGGTTTTGGAGAACATGATGGGTGTAGGTACGGTGACCAACTGTCCTGGTTTGCCCAGGACTTTTCAGTTTAGCTGTGAAAGCCCCATGTCCTGGGAAACCCCTCAGTTGCAAGCAAAGCAGATGGCCGGTCACATTAGGAATAGTTCAGACAAGTGACTGAGATTGGAGATCCAAACCAGAGTGACACTTTAGTATGTTAACAAGAGAACAGAGCGTGACAACCAGAAATCCAAAGCAATTCAGAGCTCTGGTAGGCAGTCAGTGGAATTGAATTATATTTTGACCGAGAGCAATTTGACCAAATGAAATTCAGTCAAAAGCATCATTGTCATAGCAACTTTATGTGGCAGTTGGGTTGAAATAAATTTTGAAAAAAAGGAATATTGTAAGCACTGGTTTTCAAGTTTTATATCATGATAATAATAGTAACAGCAACAACAACAATAATAATACTAGCAGCAGCTACCATTCATGAATGCTTACCATATGCCAGGCACTTTACCAGATTTTACAGATATTCTCACTTTTAATTCTTACAACCAGCCTGTGAGATAAGCAATGTTATTTTCTTCATCTTGCAAATGAAGAAACGGGTGGTGTGGGAGATTAAGCTGTTGGCACAGTTACACAGCCAATCAACCACAGAAAGAGACTTTGAACCCCGGCCAGTCCAAAGCCTGTGCTGTTTAGTCACTATGTGGTACCACTTCTGGGTATCAAGAACCAGGTCTGTTTATTATTTATTGTTTTCTTTTACTACAAAAGTAACCCCTGTTAATTCTAGAAAAATTGTAAGGTATGATCTAGCAGAAGACTCTGCAAAATACTTAGAATTACCTCTACTTAGAAGTAAGCTCTGTTAACATGCTTGTTGGTATCTTTTTCTTTGTGGGGCACATTGGTATGTGTGTGTGTATACATATATATATATACACACACACACACATACATATATGACATATATTTTTTTCCTATAAAAATTACATCTGGTAAATTTTAAAACCAATTGCTAGGCATTTAATTTATTCCAACTTCTGTTGTTGGACATTTATGCTACTGCAGCTTTTTGATGCAACAAACAGCTTGCAGTAGAAATAATTAGCTGAAAATGATATACAAATAAAGCAAAATGAAACAAGACTAAGAGACAACAAATTCAGAATGATGGACAGTAATGTAAGAGTTGGATAACAGTTGTAAAACCATTCACTCTCTATTGTATCCTGATTACCAACACAATGAAAACCACTGGCTGAGGACTATTTGCTTTTGGGGCGCCTGGGTGGCTCAGTTTGTAAAGTGTGGGACTCTTGCTTTCGGCTCATGTCATGATCTCAGGTTGTGAGATCAGCTCCCCCTCCCGTGGGGCTGTGAGCTCAGCGTGAAGTCTGCTTGAAAACCCCCCCTCCCCCACCCTCTGCTCCTCCCCCAACTTGTGCTACCGCACCCTCTCTCTCTCCCTCCCTCTAAAATAAATAAATAAATCTTAAAAAAAAAGGAATATTTGCTTTTGAACAGATCATCATGTTGAATAGCCTTCTTTCAGCCAAAGCATTTTTTTTCAAAGATTTTATTTATTTATTTGAGAGAGGGAGCATGAGCAGGGGGAAGAGCAGAGGAGGAGGGAAAGGGACAAGCAGACTCTATGCTGGGCGCAAAGCCTGACCTGGGGGCTCAATCCCAGACCCCCAGATTGTGACCTGAGTGGAAACCCAAGAGTCTGATGCTCAACCATCTGAGCCACCCGGTGCCCCCAACGTAAGCATTTTCAGGAAAATCACCAGGAGCCCATAACAGGAACCAAAAACAGGGCCCCAGACCCCAGGCAGAGTCCAGGAAGGTGCTAAACCCTAACATGTAAATATAAAGAGTGATTTTCTTAGGGAGGGAACTGTGTTCAGGGGAATAAGCCACAAACCTGATGACCAGAAATGATGGCTTTAATAAGAAGTAAATTTCAGAATCAAAATATTAGAACAGTCATCAAAGCTGGAACACAAGGTCAGAGCCAGGCTAACGACAACAAGGAGTTGATGCTGAGTCCCAGGACTTTGGGTCAACACCCTTTAAATTCTTCTTGCCAAAGGGCACAGAATTGGGCCCGGGGGTGAGCCTACAGGTGAGGAATATTGCCCCAAGAGCTCAAGAGAGCTCCAGATATTAGGAATCTGGCAGGTTCTGGCAATGGGAAGTTTTGAAGGAGAAAAATATAATGAAGAGTTGTTATGTGATTAAATTAGTGAAGTGTAGGGAAGGAAGCAATTTAAGAGGATACTTCTTAAAACTACTGTGGTAGCAAATGAAAGGAAGAGACTCTTGGTCTGGGTAGTGGTAGGAATTATATGTCAAAAGGTATCTATATATTTCTATTAAATAAATAGATTGGAGTAATACCTGTAATGACATTCCTCTTTGTACCATATATTGGCATACAGGCAAAACATGTAGTTGGCCCTTGGCGGCTATCATGCTATTACTTTTATTAAATTGAGGTTTTAACTGGTATATGAAATTTTTTTTTATTATGAAGTCCCTAAATAGGCATGCTGTGTCTTATGATTGCAGTTTAAGTTAATGATATCATGCTTTAAAATTAAAAATTATCTTTTCTTGGTGCTGTGGAGGCCATCACAAAATTGATGATTAATATTCTGGAAAGACGTTTCAGTTAAATTTCTTGGATGTTGATCAGATAAGTGCTAAGATTTATGATTGTATTCTGAAATCTTCATTAGGTGAGTCCTTTGTTGCTTTGGGTAACTCTTGGCGAGTGGTTTCCAAACCCTGGAAATTACCACTTCTGGGTTAATTTAAAAAGAGACCACTCCTTTGCTGAGTGTCTACATTGTTTTTTGTTTATTTCTGTTGCACAAAGAGTAACAATTGTGTAGAAGTTAACTGTGTTCTTAATTAAAAATAACTCTGTATAGTTTCTGGAGGTTTAAAATTCGAAAAACTTCCAAGGGTGCTCTAAATATTATAGAAACATCCTTTAATCAACTGTAGCTGATGGTTAGATTTGTTCAATGCTTTGAGCTTTTGCATCAAGCCTTTCTTGACCAGAAATGACAAATATGATCATCATTTCTGTCTCTTGCATGGTATTTTCTAATGTATATTGTTTTAAAAATTACAAAGATTCTGTTCATTGTAAAAACCAAAACAAAAAAACCTAAAACGGTATTGAATATAGACTACTTTTCCTCCCAGCCTCCAAATGATAACTGTATAACAGTTTGATGCATATTTTTCCAGCTTTTCCCAAGGGTTCTGCTTGTGTATACATATCTACACACACACGTAGACCCGTTACATGTCCCTCTTCCTCCCCTCGCCCTTCTCCCACTCACCTTACCTATTGCCCCTCGTCCTCTGTCTCTTCCTCCTTAACAAGAGTGTGGTGATAATGCCAATGGAGAGAAGGCTTTGTTCTGTGTTCTCTCCCTTATTGAATTTCACCCCTTGGTGGAGCTTATTCTTCTTGTCCTTCCCTCCCCTTGCCTACCACCAAGGTTCAAAAAATTCAGGCTATGCTTTGCTTCTTTTTATCCTCAGCAGCCAAACTAGGAGCCCTCCCAGAACAAATCCTCAACTATGTAAAAGACAGCAATTCTGGGTGTTTCTCCTGGGCACAGCGAGCTAAGCAGCCCCAGTTCTGGCCTCCCTGGTGATTGGCCGAAGGCCCAGAGGGGCTTTTTGTACCAGTTCATTCCAAGTGTGAAGTTTCTCTGGAGTTTCCTTGGGAAGTAGGTTCTTCTTTGTAACTTTTTTCTTGTGTCTTTTATGGGTTGGAATTTCTTCTGCAGTAGTTATCTATCATTTCGACCCTGATTTCTAATCTTCCAGAATTTTCCAAAAAAATTTTGATATGTTGATAGTGGAACTTCCTTTCTTCTCTGTTCTCCTGTCATTTTAGTGGAATTTAGGTACACATGATGATTCAGTCAATTTTTTGAACCTCTCAGGTGCCTGGTCTTTTTTCTATTTTTGGTCCAGGTTTTTGGAAATTCTTTTAGGGTTCGTTTGCTGTTCCTCTGACTTTTGTTATAACTTGAAAGCTTTTTTTTCTTCTAGTTTTGGATTTAATATTAATTGTAATTAGGTCACTGATAGCACACTGTTCTCTGGGTGCAGAAATGACACCATTACTTAACAAATTTCTTTTTACTGCATTTACGGGCCTCCACAGGTGTTACTGCATTAGGCAAATTAACAATGTGAAATTCACTTCTAGAAATATAAATAACTAGTCTTTCATTTGATATATATAAATGTCACTATCTGTAATATATATATATATATTTGTATTTTATTTGCCAGGTGACTGAATATTGTCAGTTTCCTTTTTCAGTATCTAGATCAGTGAGAGCTATGAAAAAAAAAAACAGATGAATAGTCTTTCAATGGGCACATGGGACTCAATGTATCTTAAAATGTCATTACTATTAGAAATGAATGGTTCAACGTTTTTTAAATCATTGAGTTATATTTGTCATACAACAGCATATTTTTTAATTTTGTCTCAGGAAGGAGAAAACATTTTCTATTTGGCAATTGAAGATATAGAAACAGATACAGAGCTGCTGATTGGCTACCTGGACAGTGACATGGAGGCCGATGAGGAAGAACAGCAAATTATGACAATGGTCCAAGAAGGGGGAGTTAAAAATTCTAAAGGACAATCAACAGCTGGCAGAAAAGGTATTGCCTCTAACTGGTGATCTGAGAGAAGGGAAGTTGTAGGAGAAATACAGTTTGAACAGCTGGTGCATTATAGTTGCGTTATCATAGGGGGTTGTCAAAATAGTTGTGGTCAAAACGACTATCAGAGGCTATCCAGCTGTAAGCCCACTTTTCTTCCAGCAGGAGGAGAGTGCTGGGTGTGGGTGATAGATGTACCCTGTAGGACTGCCAAGGTCAGCACCAGCTCCCGGCTCGCACTGCTATCCCTGGTACAGTGGGGTGGCGAGCGATGAGGAATTTTGTACTCCAGCCCTGGATCTGCCACTAGTCAGTCTTGGAACCGAGCAGGTCACTAACTCTTGGAGACGTTACGTTCTCATCTGCACAAGGGGAAGGGCGAGTGCAGAGGTGTCCAGAGGGTGCTGCTGGATGCTGGGCCTCTCTCTCTTGTTAGAGATCCTTGGAGACTCTGGAACTTCTGGAAATCTCTTTCTGTTCTGATTGTAGAGGCCTGCAGGACTGTTAGGTTGTTTCAGTTGGGTAACCAAAAACAGTGTGTTGGCTGTAGGTCTGACCTGCTTAGAGCAGTCCTGCAATCCGGAGATGTCGCTTGTTTGCCATCTGCTGGGGAATAATCGATTATTAGTGGGACTTGTTTCTGTTACGTTGTGTTTTATTCCTGATGGGGTTTGAAAGAAATATGAATGATGTTATAAGTATTCACATTTTGTAATAGGCTGAAATTTACCATAGGGTAGTTTTTCATTTTGTTTATTAGCAGAGCCATTTCAGAAGTGACACTAGCTTCTTTAGCCACCATAGTAGTAATGTCTTTCATAGGAATTTCCTATTCTAACTACGTTACTGGCTGAGAAAGTGTAAGTGTTCCGAGCATTGCCAGCTTATTGCTTCTGTTTCTTTATTTGAGTTGGATTATTTAAGGGGAAGATGAGGGCAGGCTTTCTGTTCTATCTTTCAAATATGCATTTTGCTGTTTTGCATTTCAGACTTTGGGTGAAAGGGATTATTTCTTTATTATTCTGTGTTTTCTTTTTGAGGGGTATGTATTTATGTGAATTACAGTATTACTGACTGCATTCCCTATGATGTACTTTTTGTATTTATTTTTTTATTTTTTTAATGTCACGACCCCTCTCCCCCCGGGCATGTTATTATTGTGTCCACTATTTTAGCTTAAAAATGAATCTCCTGCTTATTATTATTACCCTGATTTTTCTTTAGTTAACAAATATCAAATTCACTTCGATCAGATTTACTTTTGTAAAAATAATCAACAGAAACTTAAATAGATTTTTAAAACACATGTATCAGGTACTTATATTATTAACATTATTGCTATTTTTACTTTAGAAATCAGTTTTTATTTAATAAAACCATCCCCCCAATAAAAACCCAAAACACGGAATAACAAACCCACAACACAAAAGAAACAAATAATCCACTCCAATGTCAAACAATGGGGAGTTTAGTTAAATAAATATGGAACCTTATTTTTTTAATAGAGAAAATGTTGAATGAAAAAAAAAAAGAGCAGCAGAAGAAATTGCATAAGAAGTATGATCATAAATATAGTTATTCTTAGACTGTGCATAAAATGTGAATGGACAAAAGACAAATCAGACTTGAGAATATATTATTAAGCGGTTGTCTCTTCCTTATGGGATTATTGGTCATTTTTATTTTCTTTATATTTTCTAAATTTTCTAAATCTCATCTTATTTAGTAATCAGAAAAAAATCTGTAATGTAGGTAGTGTACTTTGAGAAATTTGGGTGGAGCTGTGACCGTCCATAGGGACTGACAAGCCAGAGACGCAGTGGAGCCTCACTGCACCTGCCGTAATGATTGCTGTTTTTTTGACTTTGGTCTTTTTCACATATATGTCAAATTCCCCTTGGTGATTCCATATTGTTTGCCTTGGTTGGATTTTTTTCTCTTTGTGCACTCAGTGAACTCAAAATGACCCATTTCAGGGAAAACTTTTGCTTTCTCATTCAACATTTGTAATAACTCTTTGATGTGAAAAGTGAACATTATAGGATAAATTAAAAATTGGTTTTGATTTTGTATTAATTTGCTGAAACAAGAGAAAGGAATTAAAAGACAATGTATTTCTCTCTAGTAACACTTCCTGTTATTTTTCGTAGACATTATTAATATTCATAGAAGTAATTAGCGTTTACTCTTCTGATACTATTAAACAGAATTAATTTTGATTTTAAAATGAAGATAAAACTGAGTAGTTCTTGGCTCTTAATTTTTGTCTTCTAAATCTGTTCCCTTGTAAATGTGCAGATTGCCTTGGCCGTAAAGAGGACCATGCTTGTCCCCAGTGTGACTCAAGTTTTACCAGCGAGGAAATTCTTGCTGAGCATCTTCAGACATTGCACCAAAAACCTACCGAGGAGAAAGAATTTAAGTGCAAGAACTGTGGGAAGAAATTCCCAGTTAAACAGGCTTTGCAAAGACAGTACGTACAGCAAAGAATATCTAAAATTATAAGCTAACACTTTTTTAACTATTCCATTTGATTTGCTTTACAGTTTTTAACTTGTGCATGTGTGCATGTGTGCGTGCGTGTGTGTGTGTGTGTGTGACAGAGATAGGATGGGAGGAAGATAGTAAACGTTCTGTGTTGTCATTGTCATTAACTTATCTTTTCTTAGTATAATATGTTGATTTTGAAACATTCTGATTATGAACTTCAACAAGTGAGCATTGTTTATGCTAATAAGTCTGTCCATTTAATTACTTGCCATTAAATATCAAGCTCATTGGTTTACTAAGCTGAAATTCAGTTATGCATAATTTAGTTAGTGCTCTGAGGTCACAGATCAAGTTTCAGTTGTCTACATTTGATATTCTCCCTGAAATCAGTAAAAGAAAAGTTTAAGAAATGGAGAGAGTTGAGAGTATAAAGAAAACAGGGACATTTTAGAAAAGAAGCACTGTTTATTTCATAACAATTTAGAAGGAACAATTTAATGATGAATAGGTATAGGATATGACATTAAGATGAATTAAATGATCCCACACATTGCTCTGCACCCTTTATTATTTTGACTTTATATTAACAAGCATATAAAGTTATCTTTTTACTTAAATATTTTACACTCATTATTAAAAGTGAGAACGTAGATACATATATTTTTATTTTAAGAATGTCACCTGTATATGAGCAAGAAATCTTTAAGAGACTTAATATTTCATTTTTTACTCATTAAAGTAAAATTCTGAAACATTCTATATTTTACATTAAGACAATTTTCACATATTATATGCATCCAACTTTGCTTACAAAATTTGAGATGAAAAATTTCTGCTTAAAAAAAAAACTTTTATAATAGCAAGAGAGTAAACACTTAGAAATTCTGTTATAGGCTCTTGAAAAAAAAGCAAGGGCTGTATACTTTTTAGTGAAAAGACTTTAAAACTGCAGTCTAGTCAGCTTTTATTGAATCTACACCAAAGATACTTTTGCTGAGCTGGGTCTTACAGTTAAATTAGGTACTATTAAAATTTTAAAGGGCAAAGACAGAATGAAAACAGAGATCACAAACATGATTTTATTTAAAGTAGAGAGATTTTCTTAAGTTTTTGTATTACGCTTCCAGTTTTTATTTCTTTTTGTTTCTTTTTTTCTATTTCCCCTCAGTGTTCTTCAGTGCACAGCAAAAAGCAGTCTGAAGGATTCTTCACGAAGTTTTCAGTGCTCTGTTTGCAGTTCTTCCTTCAGTTCAGCATCAAGGTTGTGTTTCTGAGTTCTCAGATGGCTGTTATCTAATTGTGGGTCATTTTTAGCATGCGTGCTTTCCACGCTTTGTAGTGACTTAGTATCACAAGGCTGTTGTGGGAATTTAAGTACTTTCCTTTTTCCTGCCCAGGTAATGCATGAGATGACCCAGAAACGGGGCTAGAGAGCTTGCATTGCAAAAGCTTGCCGCGATGTAAGAATTATTTAGGTATGGCTTCACCGTCTCTTCTCCCTTTTCCCCTTGCCTGGTTGTCTTGCAGTTTTGAGCAGCACCAGGAGACCTGCCGGGGAGATGCCAGGTTTGTGTGCAAGGCCGACAGCTGTGGGAAGAGGCTGAAGAGCAGGGATGCCCTCAGAAGACACCAGGAAAACGTCCATGCTGGTGAGAAGTCCCTGCAGGGTCGTTTCTAAAGGGGCCTCCTCTCCCCGGGCTGCAGTGATCTGTTTTTAATTCTTGCTCCCAAGGAGAGAGCTTGCTTTTCCATCGGACTCATACAGATGTGGAGCTCTGGCAGTGGACTTTTTTCTTTCACCAAACACTATTTCTTTTGCAAGTTGATTTCAGCAGTATTTGTCATTTTTCGTATGTCTAAAGTAATCTTAGCTGGAAACCTAAGCTAGAACCTATTGGAGCTTGGTAGGCAGGTGTATTAAGAATTAATATTTTCAAATAAAAATTTAAAGGTGAAATACGAAATTTCTCTTTATGGAGGTAGATTTTAAAACTGTTACATGATGCTCTCGTGCCGTAGTATTTTTACAGTAAAATTCCATTTTTTAAAATTTATATTTCTTCTATATTGGAGAAAATTACTTAACTGCATTTTGACATGGGAATTGAATGTATTTGGGTTAATAGAGCAGATACTATTTGAATGCCTTCTAATGGCCAGCTAAACAATAAAACAAATACAACATTTGACGGTCACTTAGATCGTATCTGTTTAGCACATGGTAAATGCATTTGGCTTAGGGATTGAATCTCTTGCACTGAGTTGAACCGATGGCTGTACTGTCAGAGTTAACTTTTCACTTCCTCAGCGTCTCTTCCTTAAAGGAGGCCGACATTCGTGGAACTCCTCACAGCCGCCTGTGTCTATACTGGTCTCACGTGTTTACATTTGCCCTTGGCTTCTGGGAAATGTGTGGAAAGATGTCTTTCTGGATGTGGGGAATGTGGATTTCTCTTCTCTCGTCTTGTTTATTCTCACATGCGTGAGAACAGGATGATCACTACTCAGCTTCTGTATCCTCTCTTTGTTCATTGTCCAAAAAGTATCTCCTTTAATGTTAAAGTTATATAGAAGCGAGTATGAATGTGACTTACTGGCTCCCACTTGGCATCTCTGTTTGGGCCTCAGATTAAGTTAGAGCTCTGTTTGAAAGCTCTAGGTGGTAGAAAGTATGGCCTTGGAAAATGCAGCTTCAGGATGAGATCAACAGGACTTTCCAGTATTCTAACTTCTTTTTTTCCGTTTGAAGAATATATGGCTGATTTAGGGAAGATGGCATTTTTCTGAATTCATTATACTGGGCCTTCCCTATGCTTACAAAAGGCAAGCATAACTTTTTGATAGTTTTTTGTAGTTTTTTTTTTTTTAAGCTGTTATGTTTAAAATGCTGTTCTTAATTTTCTCCATCTTTGTCTGCAATGTATTACAACAAATCTTTCATGTCATTTTTAAAGTTAACTTTGCTGAACTAAGTAAAAAAGCAGATGCATACTGAAACTCTGGAAACTTGCATTCTTGTTATTGTGCATGTGGTCTTCAGGCTGTGCTATAAGCATAATTTCTTTGAGGCTTCTTGTAGTTGGCCTTGGATATTATAATATTACTGATTCTGGAAATCATTTTGACTTCGTAGGAAATAATTTATAAGAGGAATTTTTTTATATTTCTATGTTGTGGAAACATACAAAATATGGAACATACTATATTAGAGGTTACTATATGTACCTTTTGTTGGGATCGGTACACAATCGGTCTCTCATTCATAGCCCCTCTTTTGCTTCTCCCCTTTCTTCTATGAGATACACAGGCATTTGGAGAGAGATATTCCACATTCAGAATAGCATAGCAAAGCAGTGTTCACACACTTGATTGTAGAATGCTTGGAAGCATACTTAAGCCACATTGTACTGAAAATCACAGTACTTAGGTGACTGTGTATTCAGTACAGCTGTATTAATTTCTCATATATCTCCTACCATCATAAAAAATGTGTTCCCGAATTTTTTGAAAGTTGAATCTGAAAGTAAAAAATCAAACTTAACTGAATATAGCAAAACTAAAATAGTAAAAAGTCTAGTTATGGCTTTGTATGTGCTGTTGTCCTTCAGCCTAGGGAAGCCGGTAGAGTGGTAAGGACCTTCACAGTTACCCAAGAGGAAACAGAGAAAGTGAAGGGGCTGGACTTTCTTAACCCACTTCCATTTTTTTCTTTTGTTTAGAGTCTGTGGGTACTAAAACCAAGAGGTTTTGTATTTATGGGAGATAACATTTGTCTGTACTCTCAGGCAAATTGTCATAACCTTTTAAAATATATATATTTTTTTTCTCAAAAGAGCTAGGATTTCAGTCCAAGGATGACGAATAGAAGACATGAGGAGGAGAGGAGAGGTTGAAGAGTAAGGATGGGGGTATGGTATACTGCCTATGATTCCAGCTGGAGGGACAGTGGCAGGAAGATGAAGCTAAAGTAACAGGTGTGGTTGGGAATGTCTCACTTCTTTCTGTTCTTTCCCTCAGGCTCTGACCTACCTTTTTGGAAAGGTTAGGGTCTAGTCTCAAGGAGCAGCTGGTATGAGGGATAAGATCGAGCAATAAAAGTTTATGGATTGAAGGAGGGAAATGCCTGCTAGTGGGAGCTGAAAAGAAGGAATATTCTTTCTCAGTGGCCCCTCATGTATTCAGTCTATATGTACAAAGATACTTATTTTGTTTGGGAGAATTTTCTCCTTCAGTAGCCAAATTACTTGTCAATCACTAAGAAAAATTTTCTTGGCTATAATATTCGGCATGCTAAAAACAGTGCATCATATGAAATAAGTAACTTGAAGGATAAGACAAAAATTCATATTTTTCTTTTTCTAAAAGTGTTTTTCTTTTATAAACACAGTCCTATGATAAAATCATTTTGGAAAACTTCTTTTTAACTTGGTTTGTTTTCAAAATAATGGATAAATGGGGGAGGAGATGGGGTTGAGGCTAAGGCAGGAATAGCCATGGATTTGTCATTGTTGGGGCCAGGTGATGGATACATGGTGGTTCCTCATATTATTTGTTTACTTTTTGTATATTTGAAATTAACTAATTAAAAATTGAAAAAAAACCACTCCAGTTATTTATGGTAGTGCAGATGGTGCTATTATTACATCATATTTGAAAAATGTTTTATTGAGTCTTCATTTCTACAACCACTGTGAAATTTGAAATATGAAATGAGCTACTATGATCACTATGTAGGAAGACAAAATTGGGCTTGTTTTGATTTGTATATTAATATGAATGTCAATATAATGTTTTATTGTACTTGATTTTTTTATTGTCTTATAATATTAATATGAGAAAGTATATGTTCATAGATTTTGCAGGAATCTAGTGATGGAAAGAATAATCTATGAATTCCATCTTAAAAAACCCAGAATGAGTTTTAAATATTTATATAATACTTATATGTTTATATATAAAAATGGTATAATATATTAATAATATAATATTAAATGAAATATTCTGTTAAAATTTAAAGTAGCAAAATAAGCTTGAGTTAATAAATCTAATTTTTATAAACACATTTGATTAATTTCAAGTAAAATTTTTCATGTAAGTGCTTTTTAAAAATTTTACATTAGTTTATGGAAAGGTGAAAGACCTATTTTATTTATGTAGAAATGGTATATCATGCTGAATATTTTTCATATTTAAAAAGAAAGGGTTTAAAATGCAGTTTAATGGATATAACTATAACACTGAAAGTTTTGGAATTCTAAGTTAAGAAATATGTGTTTAGAAACATTGTATCTGATATCCTTCTAATATTCTCATTTAAATCATGTTGGCATTTTATTTTCATTTTAGGAGATCCTAAGAAAAAGCTCATATGTTCAGTGTGCAATAAAAAGTGTTCTTCAGCCTCAAGCCTGCAGGAACATAGAAAGGTCAGTAAGATAAAGATTAATGCTCATCAGAGTATAAGATCTTTTAGTCATTTATAGTGTCTGCCATGAAAATTTTTAGTTGATTTTTTATATTTATACAGACAGAGCTTTGTCATTAATTTATATGCTAACATATTCTAAAATGCAAGACTGATATGCAGAAAAATAAGTTCTTGCAAAAATGTATTTTGAATTGTTTATCACTCAGAATTAATAGAAATATTTCTCCATTGCAAAGTGTTACATCTAACTGAGCCTTTCACGGCAACACCTCACCATGGTTTCAAGCTTTGTCAGTTGCTGTTTGCTCAGGAAATACCATACATTTGATGAAAACTTAACAGTTTTGTGTATTTATAATGTGCTCTGCAGTGGCACTTAGCTATTAAAAATAGATGCATATGATGTTTAAGTCTGGCAAAACAAAGACAAGAGCTCCATTATTTTGAAGAACTAAAAATAATGTTCAAGTATGTCAAAGTGTTGTTGGCAGGAACAAATGATTATATTTACAGAAAATAAATTAAGTATATTTTTTAATAAGCATAAAGCTTACTAAGTTACTATTTTATGTGGAAATTTAACCTGAAAAATACACAGTAGTTATTAACCCTAACAACAGTGGCACTAGTTAATAGAATTTACAATAGAATAGAACTAAAGTAGAATTTCACAATTTTTGTTCTTATTATAGCAAAGTCTAGAAAAATTCATATTATATAATATTATCTTATATTGTAATAACAAAGATGAACGATTATTTTTAAATTTCACATATTGTTTTGTCAGAATATCTAGGAGCATATAATATTTTCTTTTAGTAATTTAGTATCGAACAAGAGAAGAGATGGTACTAGTGAATGTAAGATTTTACTTTTCTTGTGGTTTAAAAAATTAATTTATCTTTTTATTTGTATATTGATATATTCCAAAATAATCTGACAGACTTTAAAATTCATATGATATTCAGTCTGATGGCTCTAACCACGTGCCATGGATTAATCTCCAAACACATGAGATAGTTAGATGGCAAAGATGTCTGAGGTTATATTTTATATGTTGGGTGATTGTGATCCTCAGGGAGAAATAATGGAACAAGCAGTGGACTGAGAGTGAGGACAGTGGGTGTCATCTTCTGTCCCTAACACTCCATGTAACATTGGGTCTCTGTTCTCTGTTTTATTACATGTGACTTGGAACTGATTCATGCCTTTTAATTTTTTTTCTGTAAGTGCAATGAAACTTTTTTTTTCTAGTTTCCAAATGGTTTTCTTATTAGGATTGTTGAAAAAATATAGAACACTTGAAGAATTCGTATATAATTCTTGTGCACGGACCATGCTAATCTTCACTGTATCATTCCAATTTTAGTACTTGCACTGATCACTTCACTGGCATTGCTTCTGAAGAAGAACCTAGTCTGAGACAAAAACATTGTAACCGGGTGATGGGTATTAAGGAGGGCACGCGTTGTGATGAGCACTGGGTGTTACACAGAACAAATGAATCGTTGAACACTATGTCAAAAACTAATGATGTACTTTATGTTGGCTAACTCAACATTAAAAAAAATTATTAAAAAAAGATTAAATCCAATTGAATAGATGTTTTCTAAATATCTTTGTACTTGTATGTATTTCTCATCTCTTTAAATCGTAAGAAGTTGAAGTTTAAGATATTTTTTACCAAGTTAAACATTTTACCAAGTAGAATGTTTCAGGAAAGCTGCTTGTGGGGCATATTTCTGAAAAACGTTCTATTTTCCATTTATTTATTTATTTTTTTCATAATATAAGAACCTTTTCCCGAAGGAATGTCTTGGCAGATCTAAATACTACCTGGTGATGGTAGAACACAGCACCGAAGTTATCTCTGCAAAATACTCATAACTTATTAGCTTGGTGTAGCACTTCCTTCATTATAGCATAGCTCCTCTAACTTAGCTTTGCTGAATCCATAGGCAGCTTTTACTGACTCCCAATTTTGACTCTATTCTTATAGTTAGTTGGATATGTTGAATGTCTAGTAGAGTTTGGTTGCAGTATTTACTCTTGCCAGTAGAGGGTGCTTTATAAATATGCCAAATTACATTATGGTCTAGAATGGTATCTTACGTTACTATATACTATCCCATGTTACAATAAGACATATTATGGTCCTTCTTGAGAATGACCTAATTAGGGACTTCAAATTGTAAGTTATTACCCTCCGTATCAATTAGTAAGCTGGACATTTTGAAAATTGTGCTTTATTTAGCATTAGGCATAGATAAATGGTTTTACCTGTCATTTTCATTTAAAATCTGATTGTTTTATCACGCTTTTTTTGGATTTTTAAAAATAGCTTGGGCCTCAACTTTCCACTGTAAGTATGGTATTCAATGCAAAAATGCTTGCATGTACAGTGAAAATTCTATTTTGTAATTATGGAAAATCAATTCAATTGAACCTTTAAAAATAATTCGTGTTTCAGGAGCCACTAGAGTTAAGTGAACAAGTATGGGTACTATGCTACAGTAGTTTATTTAACAGTTAACATTTTATATTTGGTTGAATAATTTTAAAAATTTAATATGTTAATATAAATTTCGTATTAAAATGAAAATTAAATATGTTTTCATTTATGTATGGTTCAGGAGGCATATCATCTTTTTAAGGGTATATTGTTATTATAAAACATACTGTTATTATAAAAGGCATATATTACAGAAACACAGAGTTTAAGAATATAAATGCCTTCATACTGTCTTTAAATAAATATTACGCATAATATCACTGCTCCTTAAACATAGTTGTTCGACCAAAGCCACGGTGAGGGTCTTGGATGATTGAAGAGGCTGTCTTTAAAATGGCTCAGGCTGAAAGTTTTTCTCTGTACTGCGTACTACTTGCTTTCTGAGTACTTGTGCAGATTCCCACCTTGTTTTCTGAGGAGTCATAGAACTCTTTGGACTCCATGTATTCACTGATTGAGATGAGGTAGCACTGTATGGAAGCAGAGATGTAAGTCAGACTCTAGTGGAATGACACTGTTCTGCTTCTGCCTTGTTTATCTACCTTTTCTCTGCTTTTCCCAGAGGAGTTTACTCATCAGGGTCTGACAGAATCAGGTCTGACAGAAGCAGAAGGTGGCTAGGCAGCCTCAGACCTGCCATGGGGTTGGGTGTAGCATTAAGGCACAGACCGCAGACCTGGGATCTGTTAACTTTCCTAGCTTTTGTTTCCCTGCCTTCCCCGCTTTTCAGTCTCTCGGTCTTGAGTTCTTCCATGGCCACTTAGATCAAGGGAACCGTTCACCAGAGTATAACCCAAGCCCCTCTTTACTCACTGCTGTACCAGTTCATGGTCCTCTGCCTTGACTTCTCTCTGCAGTGGCCCTAGTTATTCTGCAGGGATAAGCATAGTATCTGGCTTTCCAAGGAAGGGCCTTTGCTTGTCTGGTGCTTAGTATTGTGAGCTCTACCTTTCATGAGGTTGAAACAAAAACTTAACTTCACCATTTTTGAATCTTTGGCAAAACGCTGTGATGTTTTTTCTTGTAGTACATTCCTCTTAGAACTTTGTGCATTGTTTCTGATCATAAACTGGGCTTCTACTTTTCATACCACCTATTCAATTACTCTGAGTTAGTGTCTGGAAGGGAAAGAGCTAAACTTAATATCTAGTTGTAATAATTATTTAGCCAGTTGTTTGCTAAAGTTATGCTCCACCTCTTCTTATTATGGTTTTTGAGCTATTCTTTTTGTTGTGATCTTCCTATCATGTAAGAATTTCACTGTGAGCTAAATGTTTTTCAGAATCATGTATCTTCTTGCCTTTCATGATAATTAATGCTTTGTTCTGTAGTATATACATTTAAATTTAAAATAGTTTGACTACTGTAAAGGGAATCTTATTACCTATAAGATTACATATTTTCAAATCTAAATTTGTGCATAACAAAGAATTAATGTAAATTAGGTATAACTTTTTACAGAGTGTAGAAATTTAATACTCACTAAATAGCTGCATCACATATTTAAATACTGTGCTGCAATCTTGTATTTTCTTTCCTTTTTAAATTTTATTTGAGAGAGAGAGAGAGAGAGAGAGAGAGAGAGTGGGGAGGGAGAGTGAGAGGAAGAAGCAGACTCCCCGCTGAGCAGAGAGCCTGACGTGAGGCTCCATCCCAGGACCCTGGGATCATGACCTGAGCCGAAGGCAGCCGCTTGACCAACTGAGCCACCCAGGCACCCTTCCAATCTTGTATTTTCTTTTAATGATAAGATTTTACTAGGTAACATGTTCACTGCATTTTCAATTTATATAAGACAGTGTGAATAAATTAGGGCTGAATTATAATACATAGATATTGCAGTAGCAGCTGTCTACATGTTTATACTTTTACTTTTGCTCTAATTTATTTGGCTTTGACAGTTGACTTAACTGTCCACTTAACCTTTTGCAGATTCATGAGATATTTGATTGTCAAGAATGTATGAAGAAATTTATTTCAGCTAACCAGCTAAAACGTCACATGATCACTCACTCAGGTAAAATATATGTTTTTCCATTTATATTGAAGTCACTATGAAAGATTCACTGTCATTTTTAGGAGCTCCAAGAGTAGTAATCAGGAAGCCTGGCTCTTAGTTCGAGTTTGGCCATTAACTAGTCATGTGATTTTGAACAAGTCACTTAGCCTCTCTAGACCTGTTTATTTATAAAGCCAAGGTGGTTGGACTAAATGATATCAAAGATCTTCAGAGTCACCATTTAATTTGTAATCTACTCCTCTTGGAGCCTTAGATTCTGTTCTTTATCTGTGAAAAGGTATCCTACCTTTCAAAATTTCTGTGAAGTTTAAATGAGATCATTATGTATTGTGCTAGCATAATGTCTGACTTTTAGGAGGGATTCAGCAATTAGAATTTCTACCTTTCTAGATACTTTCACATTCTAACTAAGGTACTAATAAATGTTAGTGAGAAATTTATAAATACATTTTGAGAATATAAGTTTTTAAAGCCGTAGTTTCATTTTAGGCAAGTTTGACTAATAGGGCTGTTAAACAGATTTTTCAAAAATAAGGTCTGAGAATAAATTTTGCTTTATGAAGTCTCCTTCTAGAGTTTAGAACATCTATCATTGGAGGCCACTGAAGAAGTCAGAATTTTTTTGAATATCCACTTTGCTTGGAGACAGATATAGATATTTTGACAAATGGAAATAGGAGATCAGACACTGGTGGACTGTTGAGATATGCTTTGTTTGAAACAAGCAGTATTTTTTAAATCTAGTGGTCAACATTACATGAACATTGCATAAATAGGGATTTTATACAATAACCTAGGTGTGTTGTTTCTGCTGAGGATTGAAGCTGTGCCCATATGGGGTCTACTTGTTTGAGTAGGAGGCAGGTCTGTCATTTACCTTTATCACTGTCAGACCACTCTTGGCATTCGGGGTTGTGACCCTGGTTTAAACTCACACCTATCAGCAGATTTTTCATCTGGAAGTAGGATTTTTTTCCTTGAATTTAAATTTCATCCTTACATCTAAGCTGCTTTATACACATAGTTTACAGCATAGGTCTATAAAAGAACTAGCTTACATTTCTTTTGTGAATAGGCTCACGTATCTAACAGAAATGGATTGGTAAGTAGATTTTTTTCTCAGTTGTTTCAATCATGTTTTAGTTGACTTATCCATAAGAAGTAATATAAGGTAAGGCTATTTCCATTTTTATCCTTTACCTTTATATAGATGTGAGATTGTCTCCACTCATTTTTCACAGAAAAACGACCCTATAATTGTGAGATTTGTAATAAATCTTTCAAGAGGCTCGATCAAGTGGGCGCCCACAAAGTAATACACAGCGAAGATAAGCCTTACAAATGCAAGCTTTGTGGAAAGGGATTTGCCCACAGAAATGTTTACAAGAATCACAAGAAGGTAAAACCTTATTCATATTATTATTACTGTTTTTGCTGATTTGTTGATTTGATTTCTAGTTGTTTTTTTTTAAAGAGGTTTTTGTATATCTGGACATGCTGTACATGTGGACTAACTAGAGGACAATTTTGCTTATATGTTCTACTCCCCCACTCAGGCCATAACCCCACCTGGCCTTATTTCCTGTTTTCCCTCCTCTGTTGAAACTGTTCTTATAAGCAAAGTGTCATCCACTGTTTCCCAGTGTTGTACTAATTGCAAAGTCTTTTCTTCTTTTCCTTTTTTCTCTAAAATTTGACACTCTTGTTCATGGTAGCTTTTTTGAAATTCTCTTCATCTTTGATGTGTAATTGGCTAGGTGTTCCACCAATTTCTCTGGACACTTTCATCTCTCCTCGCCCAGGAGGTTATCCTGGATGCGTTGGCTATGGACCTCTTTTAGATTCTCTGCATCAGCTACATCCATGACTTCTGCCATCAACTCTATACCAGCAAATCCCAAATGATTTCTTTCTTTAACCCAGGCTTCAGACTCACATTTATTTTTCTTTATTTGATACAAAACTGTATATCTTTTTGACCTAATGAATTTAGCATGTCCCAGAATGACCTTTTTATTCTTTATGCCCCAGATAACCTCTCTTTTGGAGTTTCTTCTTTTTGTTAATGACAGAAGCATATATTTATTCCTGTCTGTTTCTTTAGTCTTAAGACCCCTTTTAAAATTAGAAGCCAGTTCTTTTTTTAAATTATTTTAATTTTATTTATTTATTTATTTATTTATTTATTTATTTTGAGAGAGAGAGAGAGAGAGAGAAAGAGAGTGAGCAGGGGAAGGGACAAAGGGAGAGGGAGAGAGAGAATCTTAAGCAGGCTCCATCCCCAGTGCGGAGCCTGACATGGGGCTTGATCTCACAACCCTGAGATTATGACCTGAGCTGAAATCAAGAGTTGGAAGCCCAACTGACTGAGCTACCCAGGCACCCCTAGAAGTCAATTCTTAAAGATTCTACCCTCTACATTGGCTCATCACCCTCATTCCTTTACCATCCTATATCCTGATTATTGTTCAACTTCATTACTTTAATACCCATCTAATCAGATTCTTATTACTTGTCACTTTCCACTTACCCATCCTCCTAGATAAATGGTTCCACAGTGCAACTCTGTCACTCTTGTACTCTAAAATTATGAGTAGATTTCCAATGCCTATGTAAGTTACGGTATATGCATGTTACCCTGTCATTCAGAGTTCTCTGCTCATGACCTCAGCTTTTCTAGATTTCTAGCCTTTTCTCTGCATTAGTCATACCTAAGACAACTTGGCATTTGCTTTCAGTCAGCATGACCTAACTTCCCCTTCTTCTTTTCTTTAAATTTTTAATTTAATTTTATTTTTAGCTAAACTCTACACCCAATGTGGGGATTGAACTCATAACCTGAGATTAAGAGTCATCATGCTCTACTGACTGAGTCAGCCAGGTGCCCTACCCCTTCCTCTTTTCTGATAGGACTCCAAGTTATGATCTCTTAGTCTTCTTAATTTTTGTTTGCATTTCCTGTGGTTTACCTTTACTCTGGTTCTTGTTTCAGAATGTATTAGTTTTATTTATCTACTCTGCGTTGATAATAAATAATGTTTGAGTTGAATTCAGAATATTTGTCCAAAGACATTCAACATCTAAATAATGCATATTAAGATGTATTTATGATGTGATAAATAATTAATTATTGATTTTTTAAGAAAGGTTTTATTGAAGTATAAATGGCATACAGTATTATTAGTTTAGTGTATACAAATAGTGATTTAACATTTATGTTCATTGTAAACTGATTACCACAGTAAGTCTACCATCTGTCATTGTACAAAGTTAATACAATGTTATTGACTGTATTCCTTATGCTGTACATTGTATCTCCATCACCTATTCATTTTATAACTGGAAATTTATGTCTCTTGATTCCCTTCACCCATACCACCCCCTTAGCCCCCTCACCTTTTGGCAACCACCACCCAGTTCTCTATCTATGAATCTGGATTTTGTTTTGTTCTATGTTAGTTAGTTGTCTTTTTTTTTGGCTTCCATTTAATAAGTGAAATTATGAAGTATTTGTCTTTCTCTGTTTGACTTATCTCATTAGCCTAATACCCTCAAGGTCCATCCATGTTTTCACAAATGACAAGATTTCATTCTTTTCTGTGGCTGAATAATATTCCATTGTATACACATGTACTGCCGGTTCTTTATATATTTATCTATTGATGGACACTTAGGTTGTTTCTATATCTTGACTATTGTAAATAATCATGCAATGAATGTAGGGGTGCATATATTTTTTTTTAATTAGTGTTTTGTTTACTTTGGATAGATACCCATATGTGGAATTGCTGGATAATATGGTAGTTTTTAATTTTTTGAAGAAAATTTAGTACTGTTTTCCATAGTGGTTGCACCAGTTTACATTCACACCAACAGTGTATGGGTTTTTTTTTTTTTTCTACATCCTTGCCAACACTCGTTATTTCTTGTCATTCTGATGATAGCTATTCTGATAGGTGTGAGGTAGTATCTCCCTGTGACTTTGATTTGCATTTCCCTGATGATTAGTGATGTTGAGCATCTTTTCCTGTTGGCCATCTGTATGTCTTCTTTGGAAAAATGTCTATTTAGATCCTTTGCCTATTTTTTAATGGGATTTTGTTGTTATTGAGTTGTGTGTGTTTATTATATATTTTGGATATTAACCTTTTATCAGATATATGATTTGCATATATCTTCCCCTCTTCAGTAGGTTGTTCATTTTGTTGATGGTTTTCTTTGCTGTGCAGATGTTCTTTAGTTTGATGTAGTCGTATTTGTTTATTTTTGCTTCTGTTGCCCTTGTCTTTGGAGCCATATCCAAAAAACATTGCTAAGACCGATGTCAAGGAGCTTACTGCTTATGTTTTCTTTTAGGAGTTTTATGGTTTCAGGTCTTACATTCAAGTCTTCAATCCATTTTAAATTAATTTTTGAATATTGGGTAAGATAGCGGTCTAATTTCATCCTTTTGTACGTGGCTGTCCAGTTTTCCCACTACTATTGATTGGACAGACTGTTCTTTTCCCGTTGTATATGCTTGCCTCCCCTGTCATAAATTAATTGCATAAATATATGCATGGGTTTATTTCTGGACTGTCTATTCTGTTCCGTTGATCTATGTGTCTATTGTTTTGTTAATATATTGTTATGATTATATAGCTTTGTAGTATAGTTTGAAATTTGGGAATGTGATACCTCTAACTTTGTTCTTCTTTATCCAGATTGCTTTGGCTATTTGAAGTCTGTAGTTCCATAAAATTTTAGAATTATTGTTTCTACTTCTGCAAAAAATGCCATTGGAATTTTGGTAGGGATTGTATTGAACCTATAGATTGCTTTGGGTAGTATGGACATTTTAGCAGTATTAATTCTTCCAATCCATGAGCATGGCATGTCTTTCCATTTATTTGTGTCTTCAGCTTTTTTCATCAAAGTGTTAATAGTTTTCCGAGTACAGGCCTTTTACCTCTTTGGTTAAATTTACTCCTAGGAATTACATTCTTTTTGATGCAGTTGTAAATGGGATTGTTTTCTTGATTTCTCTTTCTTATAGTTTCTTATTAGTGTGTGAAAATGCAGTGGAATTTTGAGTGTTAATGTATCTTGAAACTTTATTGAATTCATTTCTTAGTTCTAACAGCTTTACTGGTGAAGTCTTTGGGGTTTTCTATATATAGTATCATGTCATCTACAAATAATGACAGATTTACTTCTTCCTTTCAATCTGGATGCCTTTTAGTTCTCTTTCTTACTAAATTGCTTTGGCTAGGACTTCCAATATTATGTTGAATAAAAGCAGAGAGAGTAGACATCCTTGTCTTGTTCCTGATTTTAAAGGAAAACTTTCAGCTTTTCATCACTGAGTTTGATATTAGCTGTGGACTAGTTATATATGGGCTTTATTATGTTGAGCTACATTTCTTCTATACCCACTTTGTTGAGAATTTTTATCATAAGTAAATGTTGAATTTTGTCAAATGCTTTTCTTCATCTCTTTGAGATGAGCATATAATTTTTATCTTTCATTTTGTTAATGTGGTTTATCATGTTGATTGATTTGTGAATATTGAAACCATCCTTGCATCTCTGGAGTAAATCCACTTGATCATGGTATATGACCTTCTTAATGTGTTGTTGAATTCAGTTTGCTAATATTTTGTTGAGGATTTTTTCATCTATTTTTTTTCTGTTATATTGGCTCATATTTTTTTTTTCTCTCCTCCTCCTACACTTCCTTCTCTTCTTCTTTTTTTTGTGGTGTCCTTGTCTAGTTTGGGGATCAGGGTAATATTGTCTTTGTAAATGGGTTTGGAAGCATTCCCTCCTCTTCAAATTTTTTTTTTTTTTTTTTTTGGAAGAGTTTGGGAATGATAGGTATTAAATCTTTGAATGTTTGGTAGAATTCACCAGTGATGCCATCTTGTCCTGGACTTTTGTTTGTTGAGAAGTTTTGATTACCAATTCAGTCTTCTTACTGTAATTGGTCTATTTAGATTTTTTATTCATGATTTGGTCTTTTTTAAAAGTTTATTTATGGGAATTTATCTATGTCTTCTAGATTATCCAATTTTTTGACATGTAATTCTTTTTGTAGTTGTATGATGATTTGCATTTCTGTGGTATCAGTTTTAACTTCTCCTCTTTCTGATTTTATTTCTAAGAATCTTCTTAGCCTCTATTTCACTGACTTCCATTCTGATCTTTATTATTTCCTTTCTTCTACTAGCTTTAGGTTTCATTTTTTCTTCTGTTTTTGGTGTTTTTTTTTCTTTTTCTAATGGTTGGGAAAGTTGCTTGATATGATTTCAGTCTTTCTGAATTTTTTGAGACTTGCTTTGTGGCCTAACATGGGATTGATCTATCCTGGAGAATATTCTCTGTGCACCTGAGAAGAATGCACAGAGTGCAAATTTATCT